TATCAATAGACGGATCTGTCCTCGGCTTGGGAGGAGGTGCTTTGGGCGTTGTCCCTGCGGGTATCCATGGCCCATATCTCGCGGGCCCTCTGCCAGGGTTAAGATCCACACCGTCGGGCTTTCTGAATGCCATATTACCGATAGTGGCCTTTCCCCTCGCCGTCATTGACCCACCCTACAGGTCCAGCGCGATAGACGACGCATCTTTTGGGGAACGATCCACGTCTTCAGTAACGAGGCACCTCGGGTCCATGGGGGCGTCCGCATCGTAAGTGGAGCCCGTGACAGTAGAGAGGGCGTCAGGGTAATCCGAGGCGCACCCTGCAGGAGCTGCTGCCGTGGGATCTACCGCTTCGGTCATATCTTCAGCTCCACAATCTTCATGCTGGTCGTCTTCTTCTGGTTTGGGCGAAGCAAGTTTCCCCGCATTGCAATCGCGGTTGAGTACCTTTAAAAACTGAGTAGGTGCAAGATTCTTCCATATCTTAATAGATTGGGATATTTCTTGGGCTGTGGCTTGCTTGTAATCGTCTTCCGTCAACCGCTCGCAGCATGGCGTTGCATTTGGATCGGCGCAGTAAACCCGACCATTACCGTTGGACCAGGCCCACGGTGTCTTGCGGATGTTTGGGCCCCATCGACGGGCGCCTCATGGGGGGCGGGGCCCGTGGCCAGCATGCTCGAAACACGTGCAAACAACGCCTCTGTAAAGTTTCCGTTCCTCGATGACGGCCCTCTCGGGGTCGCCCAGTATGAGGGCTTCTTGTGCTTTGACAGCCCCTGTCCTTTTTGAGCGAATGGCCTTGCCTTCTTTTCATCGCGATCAACCGTGCGAAGAGAATGCCAGCGGCGAATCTGGTGCTCAGTCCAACCCTTGCCAACCGCTGTTGCATTGCATCTGGGCCTGTGTGCTGGCGGGCCAATCCAGCGTCCGAGTGACCGACAAGGCGCTGTAATTCGCCCTCTGTATATTATTCGCGAGGTTCTCTCCCTCGAGGCGGGCGCCCCCCGCATGCGCCCCCTCCTCGGGGGGGCGCCAGGTCTATTGACCCCCCGTGGGCGGGGTCTTTGGCCCCCCCGCATCAGGCGGATGAGGGCGCTGCAGGGCGCGAGAGCGAGCGCCGCTGGATCGCTCCTGGCGGCTCATGGAGCGGCCCGAAGCTACGGATCCAGGTTGAAATCCTTCGTCGTGGCCGAGCTCATACTGAATGCGCCCAGACAGATCGCTAACATCTCGCGGGTTTCCTCGCAAAGGGCCATTAGCACTCCATTCCATGTTTGTCGGATTGCCGATAACCCGAGGATAAAGCATCAACTGTATTTCCTTCTCTGTCGCAGGAATGGCGGCCTCTGAATCCGCGCCCCCCCCCCCCCCCCCCCCGTGACGTACAGAACTGCAACTGAGCTATCAGGGTCGGCCAAGAGTGACTCCCAGTCAACATACTGTATACCCTAATGAATTTGAGCCAGATGCACCGACGGACCTCCGCCTCTCCCATCGCCCCGAGGGCATTCGCGGCCAAAGCGCTGTGTGATATGACACATGTCGCACTCCATAGTTTCACCGTTGGCGCCCCTCGGATTTCCCCGACGTCCCTTACCTTTTCCTGATGTGCGCCTACGGTTCCTGCCTGCACCTAGGAATATATCTACAGATTGTGGCCCAGTAAGGGGCGCTGGGAATGCCGACGTGCCTCTGCCATGCAATCGCCGCCGCTTACCTTTGCCCTCACCTCGACCCTTGCCTTTCCCCTTGAGCGCCCGTCGGAGGAGCGCCGTGCTTTACGAACTGGCTTCTTCATAAATTGCCTCCACCTGCTTTTATGTTTCTGGCATCCTAAGTATCACCAGTGCGCCTGTTGTTCTTCCGCGAGGTACGTAAGCATATCGGAAGAGTCAAGGGCAGTGGCCTCGTCGTCCGAAGACGCGCCGGCGTCAGTGCCAGAGTCAAAACCGGACTCAGCAGGTTGCCACGCTGAGCCCATTAGGGTTGTGGCTTGCGCAGGGGGGGCCGCGTCGGGCGGCCCCGCGGCCCCCGAAACCTGGCCCAGGAGTCTTGCGACCTCGAAACCGGACCGCCATTCTGAGCCAGTAGTGTAATGGTGCCAGTTGGTTGCGGGTCGTCGTTCCGGACGTTATTAGCAGGCTGCCCTGCGTTTCCCTCAACGTGGAAACGCTCGGTTCGGTGACGGTGACTGAGAATCCCATCAATATTGCCAGGGGTCCTCTCAGCAATGTGAGCATATGACCTCACGCGTTCAAGTAGAGAGTCCAACTGTTGCTGGTCCCTCGGCATGCGGTGGTTTAGTGGCTGCAGTTGCTGTGCGCGCGATGTCCCCACTCCAAGGGCTCTGAATCAAATAACTGATAGAAGTTGGAAGTTTGGGATGTTAGCTTCATAGAAGGCTATCTCGAAGCGCGCCAAAATCTGGTCGATGCGCTCTCCCGCATGGACTCGGAAGCCAATGGGAACTGTACCAGGGTTGAATTGGCGTTCCTCTTCTAGGTTCTCGAACTTCGTACTTCAGAGGAACACGACTCAGGTGGCGCCATCGGTATGGCGGCCACCTATGTTAACGCCGAAATTAATAACTGCTGGGGGGACTATCATGGCTATGGTCCGCGCGAGGCCTCCCCTGCCTCGCTGCAAGGCTGCAGCTTGTTGGGAGAGCGTCATGTTGCCTGTGGCAACGTTGATCCAAGCATGCACCTCGCGGGCGAATTCGCGGAAAAGGTACTTGACCGGACGGGCCCCATTGGGGGCTGGTCGTTCTTGTGTCGTCTCCGCCACGCAAATGTACTACCGCACGCCCGATAGCGACCCGTGTGAGCCCAAAGATAGCAATACAAATCCAATGGCTTCGCAAGTCGTAGTCGGATGTAGTCGGTTTGGATTTGCGGCATGTGGTCGTAAGCCTGCGCGGGGGTGGAGGCGGCACAATGTCGTATCGCATGTTTCCACGCATTGTGTCTTCGAAGAAGCTTCCAATCGGAGTAGGTGGGTGGACTTCAGGAGTATAGTAGCACAGGGATGTAGGACGCAGGTAAGAGGCCTCCGCGTAGGCAGAGGTGCCACTGCAGGTGTCCTTGCGATGTTGCGTAGCTGGATACATTCCTCCGCGAAAACCCACTGCACCCTGATGTCCCACCACGTCAGTAGTCCACCAGATAATGCCGTGGATGGTGAGGAGTAGAGCTAGAGCTGACCACCATAGGCCAGCTCCGCTACCAGGTTTGAAAGGGGTTGGGGGGCCCAACCAGCAGCTTCGCCTTAGGCGAAACCCAGCTCCCGCTCTGCTGTGCCGTAGTAGCGATAGTCCCAGTAGTAGGGGGCGAGCCATCTCAAGCAGTTTTGGTATCGATGGCAACTGGTACACCTCGTGCTGAGGTGTAGTCAGATCTGGGCGGCTGGCCGCTTTGAACCAAGTAGCCGCGGATGCACGCTCGTTCCCACTCACATGCAACACCCTACTCACTTTAGAGTGTACGCGCCCAACTATGTACATGAACACGGCCCTTCGATCCGCGAGACCAGCCGCGTGATACGAACATTCGCGCCATGCGTACTCTCGAAACCAGCGTGGATTCATGTACGTCTACGTCATTCTTTCGTTCCTGACAAACGCCTGCCCCAAAACCGCCCCCAAAACAAAAAAACGCCCGAGAACCGCGATGCTCGGCTCCGTGGGAACATCGTGACGCCAGCTGGAGACGCCACTGAGCCGGATTGTGCCCGAATCAGTGCCAGATGGGACCAGACCGAGCCCGGATCAGGCAGGGCTGAACAAATTTAAGGCTGGATCCCACGCCGATGCTGAATGACCCGGCAGTGGGAAGAAATACGTGGACAAATGACGTAAGAAGGCGGAGAAAGTAGACTGGATTCGGTCCCGCCCAACGAACCAGCACCACACAGCAAAAACATGTCGCTTCTCGAAGTAGACAGGCAGGCATTGGAAGAACATTTGCATCTGGGCATCAATAGAAGTACCTACTTCCAACGACCAGCGTGAAAACCTCCCAGGGGTTGAAACCTAACGCGGGGGTCTCCCGAGGTCCCCTGGATGCTCTGGAGGTCCCCGAAGTCTCCAGAGGTCCCCGCGAGGGAAGGAGGGGGGCAGGGAGGGGAGGGGTACACGTCGAACGAAAATCGGGGAGGGGAACTCGGCGGCGAGCGAGGGGGGAAGTGAGAAGGAGAAGGCTTTCTCAAAAGGCGGCGGGCCTTCTCAGAAATCCTCGCGCCTTCTGAGAACATCTCAATGCCTTCAGGGACAACTAAGAACACTTCTCGGAAGGCAGGGCGACTTCCGAGTCTTCTGAGAAGGCCGCCCCTTCTCACGTTCTGCTCCGGCCTCGCCCCCGAAGAAAGGAGATAAACAAGAGGAGCACATACGAAAATATGTTGCATCTTCGGGGGCCTTGTCTGTCCCGTCGCGTCACGATCTGCGTCGAATCCGTGTCAAGTCCAAGTCGAGCGCGTCGAAACAGTATCGAGTCCCTGTCGAATCGGTGTCGAATGCGTGTCGAACCCACGTCGAACTCGCATCTAACCCGCGTCGAACCCACGTCGGAGTACAAGCGAAGACTGCAATCTGCAGGAAAGCTGCAGGACAGGAACTGCCCCCGGAAGGCGCAAAGTAAACGCAGGATATGCGTGGAAGAGCAGAGGGCGTGAGACCCTCTCTGCATGCCCCCCGGTTCTCGGGCCATAGCTCGACTCCCCGGTGGCCGCTCGGGACGATCCTGGCACCTCTGGAACGCCCTCGTCGAGGCGCCGCCGCTGGAGAGCGCCCCGAGGCCGGAGAGCCGCCGCGGACCGACGAAGACGCCCGAAACCCCGAGCCTGGAACCGAGAACCTCGGGCTCTGGCCCGAAACCCAGGGGAGGAGGAGGAGGAGGAGGAGGGGGAGCAGTTGGAGGAGAGGAGGAAAAGGAGGAGGAGGAGGAGGAGGAGGAGGAGGAAGAGGAGGAGGAGGAGGAGGAGGAGGAGAACGGGCGTCCGTGTCTCTGCAGGAGGCCCGGCGCGACGCCGCACGGGCGCCCCTCGGCAGGCCGACCCCCAGGACGCCGAGGGTCGCGCGGAGCATCTTCCGGGTGGCGTCCTGCGCGCGGGGTGGGGCAAGACCCCGAGAGAGAAGGGACCACTGAAGGGGCCCAGGGACACACACACAAAGGAATAGGCACTACTCCCAAGATCCCCGATCTGTTTCCATATGTTCTGGGTGTGTTCGTCGTTCGCCCCCCCCACAAGGGTAAGGGAGGGGATTCGAACCCCCACCCCTTGAACCGGAGGGGGCGGGAACCGGCTCCGACCCCCCCCCCTCCAAGCGCTCACAGCACGCGCTCTTTCAGAGATCAGCACCGTCTGACTTAACCCCGATAGGTCTTTAGACCACCCCCAATCGTTGGAAACAAATTTTCGCTTCGGCGATCATATTGACGGACTGTGGTCCCATCAATGGAAAATCGCTATTTATGGGCGGCACCCACCGCGCAACAACCATGACGACGATTACGACTACGGTTACGACTCCGACTACGAGGAAGAAAGCGAATTTATCCGGCGCCGAGAGAAACATGAGGGGGGTCGTCAAAACTAAAGACCTCCTGGGATTATTCCCATACCCATGGGACGCAGACGGACATGCTAGTGCTATGTGTCCTCATTGGAGGCGTGCACCCGAGCCGAACAAATCGTGTAACCATCTTGTAGTACATCGTTTCCCGAACGGTATGGCCAGGAAGCGCCCGGCACGGAGCTTATACTATAAGACTCTTCGGCGCGCGCGTCGCCCCTGGGGGGCGACGCACACATAGTTCTAGTATGTTGGGGTGACGCCGATCTAGAGATCAGCATCGTCTGACCAATTCCGACTCCCAGTGGGCCTGGGTTCCTTAGCGCCAGTAGCCACGATCCTAAGACGGAATTAAAAACGAGACAACATCGGACCGATATGAATCGGAAGTCTCTGATAATCGGCGGGTTTGAAGGATGGCTTGGGCGCCGCGGCCGTTCCAGCGCGTTGTGGAACCCTCTGAGAGCGTTCCACAACGCTCTGGAACATATTCAGCTCGAGTCTAGGCCAATCCGATTAGCGCCAGCAGCCACCCCCTGGAGCGAAGCCCAACAGAGAGCGGTTCTATCTTCCAACCCCGTGAAAGGGGTAATCTATAGGTCGGCCAGCAGGGCGAAATCTTCCCCAGTGGGGATGGATGGGTCTGGCGGTGTAGCGATGCAGAAGCGAAAACAACATCGAATAGGAATATGTCTCGGACGGGTCGCACCGGCAAGAAATCGCAATCAGATCGGATCGGCCGCGCCAGGATGCACAACAGCATCACGCAGAGCATAGGGCCGCACCAGATTGTGGAACACCAAAACCGAACACAAGCCGAACACGACCGAACCGTGCTCAGGGAGCGGCTCCTGGGGAAACCGAAGAATCTGATATCGCTACTCCCCGGACCTCTCCTGGGCTGCCCTCTGACCAGAATTTCGAATCCAATCCGACGGGGCGACGAGGGCCTCCCAGGAGGCCCCCCAAAAGGGGGAAAAGAGGCACGGGCAGCGGTATGGCTACCTGCTCCTCCTCTGAGGATCGGATCGGCCGCGCCAGGATACACAACAGCATTGAGTATCGTTTAACCGATCCCCATCACCAGCGACGTGGCCTGGGCCCCACTGGCACATTTACCCCCCTGGATGGGGATACAGGTCGTTCCCTTCGGGTTTCGAGGGGTGTGTCCCCAACTGGGGTGGTAATCTGGTGGGGGTCTCGAAGGGGATGGGGATGGGGATCGGTTCAACGATACCAAAGCACCACGCAGAGCATCGGGCCGCACCGGATCGTGGAACACCGGAGCCGCACCGTGCTCGGGGCGCAGCTCCTCGTTGGTCTTGTCCGCCAGCACCGAGCGGTGCCGCTTGCGGAGCGGCTGCCGCTCCTCGTCCTCGCCCGCCCCCGAGGGAGAGCGCCCCCCCGCGCTGCTCCCGAGGCGCGCTGCCGCGGCCCTCGTCGGGGGCAGCTGGACGGGATCCCTCCCGTGACGGGCCCCTCACGCGACGGCCGCACTCAACGCTGAATACGAAAGCGGCACGAAATAAATCCGGGCGAAGATAATTCGAGAACCCCTGAGCCAGCGGCTCTGGAGGATGCATCGGGCGCCGCGGCCTTTTCGGAGCGTTCCGGATTGGGCGCCGCTTGCAGGGGTGGGGGCGATCACTGAGAGTGGGGAAAAAATGCACGCCTCGGGTCCCGACGGTTCTAATGTAGGCTCCAAAAAGCCCCTCAATGGGGCCCGAAAGAAACTTTTTTCTGCAGCCCTCGCTAGCCCTTGCCACCCCACAAATATCGCCCCTCCATTACTCGACGCCCGGCCAGACCGCAAAGCGTTCTAGCACGCTCTGGAAAACAATCGTCCTCGTCCCAACCCCGCCCGACGGATCCCCCCCGTGACGGGCCCCTCCCGTGACAAGCCCCTCCCGCGACGGTCCCCCTCTCAGTCGGCCACGTGCACAAGGGGGGGCGCACGGGGAGGGAGGGAATAGCAGGGAATATGTCGACCACTATCCCAGGTTTCGGATGGTTTTGGGGCCAGGGATTGACAGAGCCCGCGCGCAAGGAAAGAGCGATGTGGGGACCAGAGCGCCCAAGGAGTAAGCGACTTGAGGATCGGAGCGCCCCGAAAAACATACTACATGCGCTCTGCTGTGAAGACTGCAATTCGCTAGCAGCGTCTGGATACAAATGCACATAATTTTTATCATCCAATTCTTGGCGGAAAGAGGACGCACGGGGGGAAGGACGGACGCACGACGGGCCAGGACGAGACACGAGGAGGAGAAACACAGGGACGGGACGAAACGACAGGGGAGGCGACCGATGAAAGGCCTCAAGCGTCTCCCACGCAACTGCTGCAGCAACTAAGCAACAATCTAAAAAGTTCGTGCACTTAACCTTGTCGTCTATCCGCCGGGCATTTGGCCGCGACTCCCACCGGTTTCCATAACGGTCGGCGCGCAACGATGCCACTTCCAAGGTTCCACTGCACCCTCGGCGGCCCACTTCCATGTCCATTGGAACTGTATTGTCATCCAGATATGTGTGCCAATATGCTCGAGAAGGAACAAAGCCTCCCAAGCGGATACTTTAACTCATACCTCCCAAGGTTCGCGCACAGACTCAGCAGTCAGGCGGCGTGGTGGGCGAAGGATCATACGAAGCATTTGCTCTGCGTCAGCTCCATTCTGTTCGCGAGCTCGTAAATCAGAGTCCACTTATCACACCCATATGGGACCACTGCTGCAGCGGCACCATGAGACAACTGGATACTGGATACGGCCAAGAAGATAATGCAATAACTCCGCCCATTGAGCTCATCTCTGAGCATGCGGAGCTTTTTTCCATCCAGCGGCGATGCGATTGCCGACCTCGTTTCTGCGCTGGTCTTGGAATGCAGCTCTTCTCCTCGATTTTTTCAGCGACGCCGCGTGGGTCAGTATTCCCGCGGGTAGTGATGGATCTGTAATGTATTCGAGGCTCGCCCGTTGACGTCAATGGCTCTTATTGCGCGTGGCTTTCGTCTTGTCCGGCGTAGTGCCCAACCAACCTTCGCGACTTCATGCCGGGCGTCCTGCGGCACCCTCGCCGCTTGCTTCAGGCATCTCACCCATGCCCCTGTCGCGAAGAAAAACCCAATTGAAGGCCGCAACCACATCGCCGCGACATAGGCAGGATCGATCGGAAAGTGTGTTCGGACAGCGCAAAGAAAAACAACGAACTCACTGGGGCGCCGTACTTGGCGCTGCTTAAACTATTGGCGGCAGCAGCGGTGCCTGTCTGGTTCATGCGTCGCTGGCTCAGGAATTCGACGCGCCCCCCTGCGACGCCGTGCTGGCGCCATGCGCTCCGCGGCGACTGCTGGGGCACAGCGTCGAAACCTTTCATTAACTCCAGCGCAACCATCCACGCTGGCATTTGCCATTCGTGCGTCTTTTTCCAGCGTCATGGTCGGTGTGAACAAATGGCCGTCCGTTGATGCTGTTGCGCAAGCCAGCTCGGCCCGGCGGCCGGCGTCTGCCCGGCGCTGGCCCCCGTCGGTTCTGCAGCGACTTCGCGCGCGATGCGCGTGCGACTGACTACCTATCAGACCAACCCAACCCAAACCGAAGACAGACACTTCGGGTTGGGGGGGCCGGGCGCCGCGCGCATTCCCCATGCCCCTTCCGGCCGCCCTTTCCCCCACTGCTAACGGGATGCAAATTGGGGCTTTCGGGTCAAATTCGGGCGGCTCGGTGAGCGACGAGGAACGGGAATAGCAAACATCTGTCTTTAATAATGCGGCTGCGCTTGGCCTCCGGAGTAGAGGGCGACGGCGGCCGGCGCCGCCCGCCACCGATCGAGCGCAAGGCTCCCATGTTGTAAGATATCGCGGTGGAACGACACAAGAACGCCATCGCCAGCGCGGCCGCTGTTCTGAATCATATCTGCCATGATGTCCGATTGTCTTTCGCCTCCTCGTTGCCGAACTTGTCTGACCGCGGCGCCGTCGGCGGGATCGCCTCGCGCAGCCGCCGCGCGTCGGGCGGCGAAGCGCGCGGCATCTCGTCGCAAATCTGCGAGGGCATAAGCAATCCGATTCGGATCGCGCTCCTTCGGCCCGCAATATCTGACCATGCGGGGCATCGATTCGGACTGCTGTCCACTCTTGGTGCTCCGAATATTTGTGAGGCCGCGGTGCATGGCGATGTTGGACGTGATGACGGCGCGCTGTCTCGCGCGTCGCACTGCTCGCGCCGCGGGCAGATCCGTTTGCGCGAGGCGCGTCAGCCTGGGTCTCCGCGCGGGGTCTGCCGTTTGAGGGCAGCCAACTTCTCGAATTTGCCCCGCTCGCTGTTGCGGCGACCCCCGCCGTCTCAAGTCCACGCAACACCGGGCGCGCTAGGCCCGGGCGCCCGACATCCTTCGAAACCAATGTTCCCAGACGGCGGCGCGAACAATATACTGCATTTCAGCATGTCCAACGCGAGCCCGGACACGGGCCCCGTCGGCCCGCGAGGCCCCTAAACCTGGGCGCAACGCCGAGTCCTGCAGCGCGACAAACAAACCATGGGCGCCGAAAAGGCGACTTTGCAAAAACAAGCGTCGTTTCCTTGGTTCTCCGTGTCGCGGGCCATCTGCGCCCTGGTCTCCGGGGGCCTGGCCGCCCGCAGAAACGGCGCCGCCGGAGGCCTCCGCGTGCAGCTGCCCAGCGTCGGCGCAGATGGCCGTCGAGACCCTCCACAATGTCCGCGCGGTCTATGCTGCCCCGCAAACAGTCTGCATGCGCGGAGATCATGTTCGGCGGCCAACGCTGTCTCGGTCGCTGGGGCCGCTGCTTCTGCAACAGAGGGGCAGAATTCACGACGTCCGACGTTGGTCGGGCGATGGAGCCGCGTAGTCGCAAGCGCGCGCGGCCGGGGCCGAGGTTCGCGCGCCCCGCGCTGGCGCGAGCCCGCGCACTTGTCCAAAGAGACCGATCCACCATGATGGCGTCCATGTGTTCGGGGATTCGATCTGGGCTGCGGCGCCTTGCGCGCAGTCGTTTCTTCGCGCGCCGCTTCTGCCATGTCCCGTGACCCCGCAGACGCTTCGCGAACCTGCCACTGGCCTTGCGCGGCCAACTCCCGGGGCGCAAGGCCCCGCGGAGTTCCAGCAAGCATCCAAATGTCGCGATGCAGTCGTCGCGGTGCACCCCCCTTCGTCCGCGAAGCCTCGCGCGCGATTCCGCCGAGCACGCGGCGGCGCCTCTGCGCGCGGTGGCCCGCGCAGCCACCGCGCGGGGAGCGCGCCGTCGCCAGCCGCAGTCGCAGACGGCGCCGAGCAAGACCACCGAAAGCAACCGTCTCGCGCGCGGAAAAACGCGCATTTATCGCGCGTTCCGTTCGCGGACGGAACCGAGCAAGCACCAGCCGCAACCCATGCTTCCGTGGGCGCGTTGCGCACAATTTCGCGCGAGGGCGTCGCATCCTCCTGCGCGGTGCCCAATTCAGTGAATGGCCCAGAGGATGTGAAGCCCCGTGCGATCACGTGGCAACTTTACTTTTGCATGCGCGTAGGCCCACGGAGTCGACGCAGATATCGCCGGCGCCCCATGCGAGAACCAGGCCGCGCAAAGACGGCGCCGTAGCGGGGTTCGGCTTGGGCCCGAAGACCTGCGCGGCCCACCCCTGCGCCCCTTGCGAGGGCAATTCTTATGCGCCACCACCGCCCGCAACAATAACTGACAGCAAAAAGGGTTAAGGGCAGGGTCATGCCAGACGACGCTGCGACGCCACGGCGAAAAGGAGCGCGGCGCAGCTCGCAGGCGCCGCGGCACGGGGAGCTCCTGCAGCAGAAACAGCATTTCTTGGTGGTGGTGTATAAAAATCGCTCCTCTTGGTAACCAATATCATATACACCACCACCGCGCGTGCTTTGATGAATTCTGTTTCGGCCCTTAAGAGTGAGGGGGCAGCCCGTTCGCCGTTGGCGGCGGGAGGGGGGCCGCGGGCTTTTCGCCAAAGCAAAACTGCACCAAATCGCATCGCATATTATTATCGATCTTGGTGGTAGTAGTCATGTACTGTGCTCGGATCTGCATCCAGGCCATGGGGAACTATGGTCGAAGGTGGTGGAGCACGGGCTTGCGCAGCGCCAATCGGTTGACTTTTCCCTTCGCAGAGATTCGCCCGCGAACTCCCGGCTGCATCTGTCGTGGGCCGGGCGAAAATGGGCACAGAAAACTTGGCGGCCGGCGAAAGCGGGCGGGGGCAGGGGTGGGAGGTGGGGCGCAATGCAGAGTGCGGCATGCGGGTCATGTTCTCGTCGCTGCAGTCGGGCGAAATCCCCTGGCGACAGATCCCCCGCGGGCGAAGCAAGACGCGCCGTGGACCTAGCTGGGGCGCCTCCCAGAATATTCAAAGACTTGCA